GGTCTCAGGCATTGGGGTCTCATTTTCCATCATCCCAATCCAAGCCTGCAGCAACCCAGGAAAATACACCAAGCTATCAAAGTGGGGAGTTGTTATTACCTTATAGCAGCAGATAGGTTCGAGAGATAGTCCCTGTGGAATCTTATCCTCTTTTCATCCTTTAAAGCCTTTTCTAAAGGTATGAAAGGTTTATTTGGATCATCCATACCTGTTCTCATGAATTTGAACTGTTAATACTTTCTCAAAGTTTGATTTGTAAATTTTAAATCTGAACCTACTCACCATTTTCTGCAATTATCACTGGAGGGTTCTGGTACTTATCTTTCAGATGTCTAGCCAACTTTCGGATGCCCCATGGGACTATGCGTAACCAGCGGGAAGCTGCCTGGAGGAGGAATAACTGATGAAATTTCTTAAATATGAAACCAGTGACTGAATTCAGGGGTTTAGCAAGGGGTTGATACATACTCTTTCTCCGATTGCCACTCCTTCTTTATATGCTACAATCAAAGTCAGGTATAATAATTATCAGTTGAAATTCTGATTTTCATTTTTTCATATTTACTTTTAGGAAGTGTTTGGTTGATTGGAATGAACGTTGGAATGGAATAGGCATTCCATAGGTAAGAATGCCATATGGAGTGCCCATTCCGTTGCTTGGTTGACAGAAAATAAAGGAATGAGGGTTCCCCATTCCCCCAAAATGATGGATTCCAATTGCTTTCCTTACCAATTTTCTATTCGTCCTACTTTAACCTTTGACTCTTTTGACATCCGTTCCTATTTTTTTATTTCATTCCATTCCATCCCAATGATCATTCCAGCAACCAAACACTACCAGCGGGTAGAAGGTTGTACTTTGGCATCTTACGGGTTATAATGACTGCAGCATCAGATATAGCATCCTGCATTATGAACTTTCGAATCCGATTCCTGTCATTTCGAGCATATAGTGTGGTGTAGTGGTTTATGCCAACAAAGTCCAAAGATCCAACCAGGAATTTTGAGATTGCCTGTGAAATCTCTGGTAATCTCTGACCCACAAGCTTCTTCATTGAAAGAGGATATTTGCCAAAAAATAGTGGATCAAGGAACCTGGTTCACTTTTCTGTGTTATAAACAATTTTTTGGACTCTTCCTAAATGCATTGCATAAAATGTTTAAACAGAAATTACCATCCTAATGAGAAGTCGATTGCTCTATGTGCTGCATCTATGTCCTCATCATTATCAGATGCAGGTTCGTACCATTTGACATCCAGTGCAATTCCTACTTGACCTCCTTGTCTCTCCTAGGTGTCCCAGTAGAAAAAGTAAAAAATACAGAAAGCCTAAATTCCATTTTTGGATTCTTTAACACTTAGCATAATGATTAGTGCTTGAGTTAGGAAGTAATATTCTATGGAAATCAGGGTACCTTGAAAAATTGCTGGTAACTATGATAAGCAGCAGCATGAGAGAGAAGGATGTTGTGAGCAACAATGTATGGCTCTGCAGATGAATTCCCTTTCTTACAAAACAAATGACCAAGAATCGAACATCTCCCAGGAGCTTGTATGCCTAAGTCATAACCTTGGAGAGCGGTATTATGAGGCTCGTTGAAGGTGATCCAGTGCTTCACTCTATCTCCAAAAGTTTGGAAGCAGGTGAAGGCATAATGTTCAAAGTCTTTTCTGTAAGCGAGCGAGGTAAGGATTACGTTTTATCAGCATTTTCAAAATGTCTCCTGCGGCTGTTTGATACTTACACTATCTGTGTGCTCAACCATCCTTCATATCTGTCTTCAAGCACTTGTGGAAGATCCCAGTGATATAGTGTTACAAAAGGCTTGATCCCTGATTGAGAGGAATTACATTTAAAAATCGATCAAATTATATTCTTCAAAAAGAATTATCTCTCTAAGAATGTATTTATTAGAGAGGTCTCATGGAGTAACCTTTTTCCAGCAAAGCATCTATAAGGCTGTTGTAGTAGTTTATTCCTTCTGAGTTGGGTTCTCCTGTTCCATCTGTTTAAGGTTATTTTCAAAAGCGTTAAGTAATCAGATGGCAATGAAATAGATAAAAAGAAAATCTGAACAGAATCAGATCTTACTTGGAAAAATTCTTGGCCACGATATCGAGAATCTGTATGCATCC